TAAAAGATTTTTCTTATTTTTCTGATCATATTCAATTTGGTGATCCGGAGAAGACGCCACTTGTGAACCATTTGTTTAATATGAAAGAGGAACAGTGGAAAATTATGCGACAAAAATTAAGTCCAGCGTTTACTCCATCTAAATTAAAATTGATGTACGATCCAATAGTTGAGTGTAGTGCGCAGTTGTTAAAAAACATAGAAACCACATTGCACGAGTCAAAAACAATAGAAGTGAGGGACATTTTTGAAAACTATTCTATAGACGTGATTGGAACTTGTGCATATGGATTAAAATTGAACGCAATTAACGATAGCAACTCTCCATTTCGTAAACATGGAAAAAGTACATTTTCACAGTTATTTAAAGCAATATTTAGAGACTTGTGTATGCTTATAACTCCAAGATTAAAACCATTTCTTATAATTAGTGATTTTTCGAAAGAAACTGTAGATTTCTTTACATCTACACTTAAAAGTACTATAAAATATAGAGAAGAAAACAACATAAAAAGAAATGATGTAGTGAAATATTTGATTCGAGCTAAAAATGATTTAATAATTAATAAAAACAGTTCATCAGGTAATTATGGTATTTTAATAACTAACGTGGTTTTATTCAGTATTTTATTAATCCTTTTCATATACTCCATGTTTCAAAAATCGATTTTTTGAATTTTGTGAAACTTTGTTGTGGGTCCATATAGTAGCGTAAAAATATTATTCGCTTTAGCGGTTGATAAACCTAACATCCATAATTATTTTTCTAATTACAACACATTACTTAGATTCCAACCCAGTTAATTCAAATTAGTATTTGGGCTGGTGATATAATAGTAATATATATCCCATTTCATACTAATATTTATTATATAACTTATAATTTTTATATTTTTTTAATTACATATTATACTTAAAATAAATTTATTAAATACATAGTTCGTTTTATTAAGTTAGATTTCAAGAGATGGATATTGTGGCAAATGCCTTTGTTATGTTTATTGCTGGATCAGAACCAATATCGGGGACCATAAGTTTTTGTTTGTATGAACTTGCATTAAAAAAAGATATTCAATGTCAGGTTCGCCAGGAAATGTTATCAGTTAAGCTAAAACACGGAACAATTAATAGTGATTACATAAATGACCTACAGTACTTAGACATGGTAATTCTAGGTAAATATAATTATTTAATTTTTTCGCGATCCCATTTAATAAAATTGTATAAGTTCTAATTTTTAATTTTGTTTAGAAACTTTAAGAAAATATCCAATATTATCATTTTTATATCGCATAACAACAAAACCATATGCGGTGCCAAATGACAATTTAGTTATAGAAAAAGGAACAAGAATATTTATTCCAGCGTATTATATACATCACGATTATAGATATTATTCAGACCCTATGAATTTCAATCCACAAAGATTTTCACGAGAAAATAAAGCAAATCAACAAGTTGGTACTTATATGCCATTTGGTTTAGGACCTCGGACTTGCATAGGTAATACTGTTACAAATAATATGACCTTCAAAATTCATCATTTAATTATCCTCCTCATACTTGAGATAATGCATATACCATTCATTATTTCTAATAATGTATTATATGTTAACTAAACATAATTTATTTTTAGGTAATCACTTTGCTGATTTAGAGATTAAATTAGCATTAACTGATTTACTTACTAGGTATGATGTTGAACCATGCGAACTAACAAGTATACCTATGATATTTAGTAAATCCTCACCTTTAATTTCACCAGATAATGGAATTTGGTTAAAATTTAATACTTTAAATGAATAAAAATATTTTGAATTTTATAAACTATGATTATATTGCTTATATCGTACGAATAATTAAAATTAATTGGTCTTATTATTACTTTTTTTTGTTTTCATAATTAACATACAAGATATTTTAGATATCATCGTTTTACCTAATAGATTGGTAGAACTCCATTAAGATTCTAAAGATACGTGTATAAAAATTGTGTAAAATTCTGTCACAAAATATATAATTAACTATTATTTATAAAAAAAAAAATATTATTTTTAAAGAGTATTCAAACATTAAAGCTA